ATGGGCTGGTAAATGAATACCAATGCTTGTTAAGGTTTGTAACTTTGCACATATATATTTGAAGATTTAAAAAGGAAGAAAATTAATTTACAAAAAATTTTTGTTGTTGTTTTTTGTGATCAAAGAAAACTCCTTATTTTTGATGGCGGGCATGATAACTCCTCACTGGAACATCGGAATCCGAAAATTCCAACGGTGTTAGAAAGAGTACATGTCTGGCTCTCGTATGAACTAGGATTATTGACTTCGCTCTAAAATTAACAAAATGGCGGACCTTTGAAAAAATATTTTTTGAAAAACGCCGATTTTTTACCAAAAACCAAGTTAAAAAATAAGGAAGATCTTCACCGATTGGCTTTATCCTAGTTCATACGATAGCTATACACTCACAGAGAAACGTGTAAAAATTTGAAATCGATTGGGTTATTAGTTTTTGAGTTATCGTGCCCGCCATTCGCAAAAAAATGTTTAGAGAAAAACGCGTTTAAAGTTTGAGAAGCCCTCAGCCGTCACTTGATGCTGACACAATAAATCGGTTATATCTTCAAGAGTTCTTGAGATTTTTACTTGAAATTTTGCAGGGACATTCTTGAATTAGTGTAGATTGGAATTAAGTCAACAAAAATTTTGACCCCGAGAATGGGGGGGTCCCCTTAAAAAACAATTGTGCTCTATTGTAAAATCATACGAAACAACATATGGGAGCTACTTTCTACAAGTTCAATGGCGTTCGTTTTTGGGCCTAATATCATCAAATTCGTATTATTGATGAACATGTACTTTGTTTAAAATATTATGCTGACAGACAGAGAGACAGCCATAAATCGACTCAGATAGTGATTCTATGTATATTCTCACAATTAACTATGGGCCAAGTACCACGGACACAGAACGAAACCAGTGAGCGGAGCAGTATAGTCGGGGACCATATAATACCCTACACAACTTCCACGAAAGTCTAAGTTTGCGTTATTTGCACCCTCTTGAAATCTGACTAAATATTACTAATATTCAGTAGACGAGGGTTGTACTTGTCCAGATTCTCTTTACCGTGGGTTATGTTGTGATGTTAGGCTTTCAATTGTGGCCTATAGATCGACTCAAAAAAAAAAAACACAAACAAAAAATGTTAAGTTTTCGGTCCACTTCATCCCAAAATTATTATCTGATAATCACCGAAACTTATAGGTGTTGTCCTTGACCATAACTAGAATCTCATGGAAATTTTCAAAGCGATCAGCGCTATATTTCCGCCCTGTTGTGTGGTTTTGGGTTACTAAATAATGTCTGAATACGTAAGCATCTGTAAATATTTAAGTGTAGCTCCCACATCTGAGTACATACGACCTTTTTGGGTCTAGGTCCTTCAGGGGCAAATTTATACGCCATAGAATACAAATTTTGTAATTTTTCACACAAAAGTCAGGGTCAATTTGACCCACTAAATATTTACCGATATTTTTCAAAACTGGCATGCTTATTCTTTGACCCGATCCGCTTCTTTAGGTAAAATTTCGCGATGTTCGGGCAATAATTGCGGCCTCTGGAACGACCAGAAAATCAGACAAAAATAAAGTTTTTGGTCCATTTAATCCCGTAAATAGTAACCGATCTTTTCCAAAAACAATAGGGGTCTTCATTGGCCAGAACCCATTCTACATGCAATATTTTGTGAAGATTGGTCCATAACTGTGGCCTGTATCGTGTTTACAAATTATAATGGACAGACAGACGGACGGACACACATGTCTAGATCGACTCAGCTAGTTGAGATATGAGATATACTTAAAGGTGGGTCTAGGACCAATATTTCGCGTCGCTACAAACTTTTGGGGCTGCACAAAGCTATAATACCCTGACAACATAGTTGTGTAGGGTATAAATACATTGTTTAATTTGTATTCAAACGGTTATAATAACCTCCATGCTCTTTGTGCATATATGTATGTAAGTATGAATAAGCCTCGATTCGTACTAAAGTGTATGTAGTTATAACATCATCGTATTACAAATTTCATTTAAGCATGCACAAGAAACATTATCTTTAGATAAATGTACATACACATTGAGTGGTAACTTTTCATGCACTTTTGTGAAAATAAGCCAAAGCCGAGTAGAAGAATGTACTTCTAGCTATGTGTGTGCATGTGCCCAACAAGATGAGGTGATTCATCTGATTGCAAACGGAATTACCTATGAAAAGTCTAGCTTTCACAGGTATTCCAAGGTTGAGTGTGATTGGTGTCTAGTCATACACCCAGAGAAAAAACAACTTAAAATCAAGAAAAACAATGTTGAATCCAGATGAAATGTTAATGAAAGTCTAGTAATGTAGGAAATTCTTATTTCAACATTGATAAAAGTCGATTTTAAAATGTAAAATTTAATATAGAAACAACTTAGAATTAACATTGTTCGGAGTTGATTTAATATTGAAATAAATGAACACAATAAATGTAATTATACTCTACACAACTATATTGTCAGGGTATTATAGCTTTGTGCAGCCCCAAGAGTTTGTAACGCCGCGAAATATTGGTCCTAGACCCACCTTTAAGTATATCGATCGTCATATCTCGACTAGCTGACTCGATCTAGACATGTGTGTCCGTCCGTCTGTCCATTATAATATGTAAACATGATACAGGCCACAGTTATGGACTCATCTTCACGAAATTTTGCATGTAGGTTGGGTTCTGGCCAATGAAGATCCCTATTGTTTTTGGTGGAGATCCCTTAATATTTAGGGTATGAAATGGACCAAATACTGAATTTTTGTCGGTTTTTCTAGTCGCTCCAGAGGCCGCAATTATAGCCCGAACATCGCGAAATTTTACATGGAGAAGAGGATCGAGTCATAGAATAAGCATGCCTGTTTTGATAAAGACCGGCCAATAATTCGAGGGTCAACTGGACCCTGACTTTTGTGTGAAAAATTACAAAATTTGTATTATAGCGTATATATTTACTACTGAAGGACATATACCCGAGAAGTTGATAATATATCCAAGAGGAGAGGTTGGCTTTGAAATTGATACCAATTATATTGTCGTATGTACTCGGATGGGGAAGTTACACGTACATATTTTCACGGGCTTATGTATTCAGATTTTATTTAGTAAACCATTACCACACTGGAGGGCGAAAATATAGATTGCGTTGATAGGTTCCATGAGGTTCCAGTTATGGTCAAGGACAACACCTATAATTTTCGGCGATGATGAGATAATAATTTTGGGATGAAGTGGACCGAAAACTTATATTTTTGTGTTTGTTGAGTCGATCTATAGGCCATAATTATCAGCCGAACATCACAACGCAACCCACAGCGAAGGAAATCTAGACAAGTGATTAGAAGGGCTGTACTGAATATTAGTAATATTTTGTGACCTCTAGTCGGTCAAGAGGGTGCAAATATCGCGAAATATTGCTTAAGCTCAGAATGTAGATCCACAGAAGAAGTTGTGTAGGGTATCATATGGTCGGTCCCGTCCGACTATACCGCTCCGCTCACTGGTTTTAATCCAGTATTTTTTTAATTTTTTAAAAGTTTTAATCCAGTATATGGATATTATAGAAATATTGCTGGATAAAAATCCACGCTAATGCAGATGCTACAGGATACTTCAGATCAATAACATGGAATACTTTAAAGCAAGTATCTAAGCTTTCAAGAAATGTTTTAAACGTTTTATCTAAGTATATATTTAAAACCCATATACATCTCCATCAGAATGTCCTTCTAATAGCAAATGGTTGCACAGATAGTCCAGGGGAGTAGTATTTTGCTATATGCTCTTCAATTGTGTTCTCGTAATCGTTGATGCATAATAAACGTACTGCGAAACTTTCCTGAGCATCTGCAATAGTAGGTTTTCTGCAACATTTGCCGGAACTATTTTTGAATCGTGCTGAACAAGGCAATACTCCGTATAGCAATGATGCAATGATAAAATCTTGAGCATCTGAAATGATCAATGTATTTTTAAATATCGAATTCTGAAATAAATGTGTTACAATTGCTGTTAATAATAATTACCTATTATTTGCGTGGATTTAGCAATCCTGAAAAGTTCTTTGCAATAGTCGTTGCCCTGTTCGGTTTCGTAAAATTTTTGTATTTATACCCTTCACCATACTGTGTTACAGGGTATTATGTCTTTGCGCATACGTTTGTAACAGACAAAAGGAATCGAGATAGACCCATGGATCCTTTTGAGCATATGCATAGAATCACTTTCTGAGTCGATTCACGCATGTCCGTATGTCCGTCCGTCCATGTATTTATGTTAACAAGGTATAGGTGATCCGATTTGGATGACATTTAGCACAGTTCACTTATTTGGCCCGAGGACGAACCCTATTGAAATTGGGAAAAATCGGTCCAAATTTGTACAGTAAAATCCCGATAATTCGTAACCCCGTTAATTCGTAAACCCCGCTTATTCGTAACAAAATGCCGGTCCCTTGGAGAAATCGCGATAATTCGTAAAAATCCCATACATTTCGGTCCCCTCGATAATTCGTACAAAATTTCCAACGAAATACCTGTTATAATTCGTAATTTGTCTTCGTAAACCTCGATAATTCGTAAACTTCAAATTTTTTGTTTATCTCTTTCTCTTCATTCGTGCATTTTGATATAGCGGGCGCCGGTTTCTTTGCAAGCAAAAACTTGTTTTTTGTGCTCATCGTTCGACATTTAACGGTAAACCACAAGTGACTTTCTACTCAGAAGTGGCAAAACATTTGTTTTTGTGTGTGCTTTTCTCTAACTCTCATTGTTCTTACGTTGATCGATCGGGCTATTCACATTTTTCTGAGCTCAGTGAATTTAACGCAATGTCACAAAAACGGTCGCACTACAAGACTCTTTCAATTCGTAAAAAGCTTGATATCATTAATGCAGTGAACAATGGTGAAAAAAAATTGATGTAGCGAATCGTTACCACATCTCTCCGTCTACCCTCACATCTATTCTTCAAAAGAGGGAGGTCATCATGGAAATGCCCAGCAGCAGTACCGTAAAACGCCAACAATCAGGTGAATTCGTGGAGCTTGAGAAATCACTAGTCGCATGGTTTCGGCAAAGCCGCCAATTGAATGTTCCAATTGGAGGAGTTCTTATGAGAGAAAAGGCTAAAATGTTTGCGGCTAGATTGGGGTTACACAATTTCAAAGCCAGCGAAGGATGGCTCGATCGCTTTAAGAAAAGGCACAACATAACTTTCAGGAAAATTTGTGGTGAAAGCGCTAGCGTCAACGACAATGTTTGCACGGAGTGGAAACAGAAGTTGCAGGACTTGATTAAAAACTATGAGCCCAAAAATATTTTTAATGCCGATGAAACAGGGCTTTTTTTTAAATGCCTTCCTGACCGAACAATGTGTTTCAAGGGTGATACATGCCATGGTGGTAAAAGTAGCAAGGACAGAATAACATTATTGTTTGCTTGTAATATGGATGGCACTGAAAAGTTGAAACCTTTAATGATTGGAAAGTCAGCGAACCCAAGATGCTTCAAAAATATTAAGTCATTTCCTATGGACTATCGTTCCAACAAAAAGGCGTGGATGACGAGCATTTTGTTTGATGAATGGCTTAATTTGGTAAATAACAAAATGGTCAGCCAAAATCGCAAGATTTTATTGTTCGTTGACAATTGTACGGCTCACAACGGACGTCCAGATCTGAGTCACGTGAAGGTAGAGTTCTTCCCCGCAAACCCAACTTCTCAGCTTCAGCCACTAGATAAGGGAATCATAAAAAATTTTAAATCTTTCTATCGCAATGAAGTCGTAATGCAACTCCTAGACAGCATTGAGGATGAAAAGGAGCACAAAATTACAATCTTGCACGCGATGAACATTGCTGACAAAGCCTGGAAAAATATTAGCCAGTCCACGATTCAGAACTGTTTTCGATCTTGTGGTTTCGACAAAGGACCATACTCGTCAGTAAGTGAAGAACCATGCATTGAACCCAACGTAGCCGAATGGAATCGCGTTCCTCAAGATGGAGAAAATCCAATCAGCTTCGATGAATACGTTCACTTTGACGACAATGTGGCTGTTGCAGGCATACAAACGGATGATGAGATCTTGGGATTTTCGCAAGAGGACGACGAAGTCAGCGATGACGACGAAGTTGATATCCCCCCGATTTCTTCCAAAGAGGCAAAAAATTGCATTGACAATTTACGCCGTTATTTTTTGGGTACAGATGTTGACGACGATGTGTTTTCAGCAATTGTGACGCTAGACAACGTAATCGACAAGACGCGTCAAAACTCTCTGCAGCAAAAAAAAATAACTGATTTTTTTTCTTAATTATTTTTAATATATCACATACGTAATAAGTTTTTAATTTTTGTCTACTTTATGAATTAATTTTTTGTTTTTGTTAAAAATGAATAGGTTTTAAGTTGTTTTGAAAAAATAAAAAAATGATACATATTTAAATATGTATATTAATTTTGTTTTCTTACCTGAGTAAGTTCTTCCTTAGGATTTATTTTCAAATTTTCGTTATAATAGAAGCAAAGAAATGACGTCTATGATGTATATTTTTGATGATAGTTTCTTCAACAATTATGTTGATCAGTTCATCCCGATTATCATTTCTTTTCTCCATGCGAATACCTTGCTGCAGGACTTTGCACGGGCTCCTATTGCTGGAATAGCCTCCTTTACATCATCCCTATCTAAGTACTGCATGCTGTCAAAGGTAAATCTTGGCAGCTACCAAGGAATATTAAGACTTGATTATGTCCGATGATACAAATCGAACTTACCTTTTAAATAAGGGTGAACTTCTGACAATCCGGCGTCTTCCTGCCAATCGGCCAATTTGTTGTTGTCTTCGATTTAACTAAATTTAATTTCGCTGACAAGCGTCCACAAAACTCGAATTTTCACGAACCACTGAAAAAAATCAACTACGAACAGTTACTTAAAATGTACGTTCTTAACCCTACGGTCAATAACCGGGTATATTTGTACATTTTTTTGAAAAAAAAGTTGTAAAATTTTTAATAATGGAGATATTTGGATCAAATTTTGAGGAATCATTCTTGAGGTATTTTCACACATAATCGAAGAACAAATTTATAAATATTTTCCGTATATATAATTTTTTTAATTTTTTAAAGTTATTACCTACGTAGATCAATAACCGTGGTACATATGTACCCATTCAAAGATAGCTCTATAACTCATTAACAAATTGGACTATCGTGAGGTTTTTTGTTTTAAATTAGTCTATACGGATCGGATCTAGATGTAGGAACTCAAAATTATATAAATATATATATATATATATTAAAATAATATATAATAAAAAATAAAATAATATATATAAATGATAATCTATCTAAAACAATCATAGTAAATTCGTTATAGCTTTCGAATGGGTTAAGCTTTTTTAGTTATTTTTTTATTGGGATCTTATTTATGTGTTCCTCAACCCCTCTGCAAATTTTTGTGGCCCTAGAGAACGTGGGGCCATCAGGGCGACTCTTGGAAGTCAGAAACTACCCTGGTTTTCCCTTGGTATGCAGGGACAAAAACAATGATTATTGTCCGTAATTTTCCAATTATTCTTCATATTGGACCTGAAACTTTTTCTATAATCGAATTAGTCTGATTTATTACAATCCTTAATTGGCGTACATATATAAACTATCATTAAATAACGTTTTAAAATATTAAATAATGTTCAAAATGCGCTAATCACAATCTCTAAACTCATAAAATGTGAATAATTGGCAATAATAATTGTTTTAGTCCCTGTATACCAAAGAAAAACCAAGGTAATTTCCACGAGTCGCCCTGATGGCCCCATGTTGTCAAGGGCCACAAAAACTTGTAGAGAGGTTGAGGAACACCTAAGTAAGGTCCCAATAAAAAAATAACTAAAAAAGCTTAACCCATTCAAAAGCTATAACGAATTTACTATGATTGTTTAGATAGATTATCATTTAAGCATGGATTTAAATATATATTATTTTAATGTATATATAATTTTGAGTTCCTACATGTAGATCCGATCCATTTAGAATAATTTAAAACAAAAAACCTCACTATAGTCCAATTTTTTAATGAGTTGCAGAACTATCTTTGGATGGGTACAAATGTACCACGGTTATTGATCTACGTAGGGGAGACTGGGGCCCCTTCGGCAATCGTGTTTTCGATATGAAGCTCTCACCGTACATCACTAGTTTCGATACACAGGTATCGAATATCGAAATAAATAACTGACACAATTTCTAGCTAATAAGCTTATTTATATACATGGGTTTTTGTATTTTTATAGATGTTTCTGTAATATTTCAATTCCATGTCGTAAGTATTTCGTGTATAAAACTTTTTAAATTTTTAAGACAATAGAAATATTTAAAAATGTAATGTTTTTACAAGACTGATCGAAAAGAATGAAAAAACTATAAACATTACATTCGGGGTACATTTGGCATTTTAAAGTGGGGCATTTTAAATGGGGCTAATTCAAACATTGCACTATAGGTCAAATGACCACTTCTTCTGTGCAAAATTAATAGCGGCAACAAAATCATAGTTTTCGTCATGAAATTTGTACCAACGGATTTTTTTGTTACTATAATTGTTATTGTTGAATTTGGAAGAAATCGGTTCAGATTTGGATATAGCTCCCATATATATTTTCATCTGATTTCAGGTTTAAGATGCACCAAATCGGTAATATACAACGGATTGCGGTGAAATTTGGTTTGTATGATTTTTTTGAGTCTGCAAATATGTGTGTCGAATTTGGAAGAAATCGGTTCAGATTTGGATATAGCTCCCATATATCTCATCCGATTTCGGGTTTAAGATGCACCAAATCGGTAATATACAACGGATGGCGATGAAATTTGGTTTGTACGATTTTTTTCGAGTCTGAAAATAAGTGCGTCAAATTTGATTCAAAGCGGTTCAGATTTAGATATTGCTCCAATATGTATGTTCTATCCGATTTCACGTCTAAGTAACTCCAAACCCACAAAATACATCCGATCATCGTAAAATTTAGTTTGCTTGTTTTATATAGGCTAAAAACAACACAGAAACATTTGGTTCAGATCGGGTCAAATTTAGATATAACATCCATATATATGATCCATCCGATTTCACTCTCTCTCATATATATATCTTCTATCCTATTTCATCTTAAACCACTTGTTTGCATTATACCGCCCTTTTGAAAAGTTATATTCTAGAAGGAAAGCTAGACCTTCCGAGTGGAATAGGCTTTTGGGGTTCTTGGGGTGTCACGTTTCTCAGTTGAAAGGCCAGCTTCTTCTTTTTTACCAAATTCCGTTTTTTTGAACAAATCTTAAGCAAAACATTTAAATCCGAATTTAGCCATACATGATTTTTGTCTTTGAAAACATTCATGTTTCTGTGACATTTTTACCATTTTTGTGCTAATTTTAAGCAAAATACATCTAGTATTTGCTTAAAAATTTTCTCTCTTTCATTAGAAATGTTGTTGATATCAATTTTGCTCACTATATGTTTGAAAACAGCACCAGCTTTTTTCTTTTTGTTACATTCTTTTCGCCATATTTGAAAAATATTGATTTTTTATGAGGAGGTTGCCTAGAAAAAGAGGCATTGCTTGCAAAACGCAAAAAATCGCAACTTGAAAAAAAAAATTAAATTAACTCATTACTTATCACTTAATTTATGTGCAAAAATTCAAATAGGTCATATTGGGTAATTTTTTTAATAGCTTACTGAAAGTCAATCTATCAAATTACTTTAACCCTTTAAAGTCTTCATACGCTAAAGGGCTATTTTCAAGTATAGTATCGCAAAAATAAAAATGTTTTGATTTTATATAAATATGCTCACTTGTATCTATATTTTCCATTTTACACTAATTAATTATTGCAAACACAATCGAAATAATACGCACTCAAAGTTGACTAAGCACCACAGAGCATATTTATAAACTAAATTGTATTGAGCGACTTTCACGGCCTGATGTGTAACGGTACTTTATATTTAGCACTAATAAATATTACGTGTCCTTATTTTGGAGTGTTCTAAATACAAAAACAACAAAAACTCGTGAAAACGACAATTTGATTTTTCTCAATTTTGCACAGAGAAACCGGTCATTTGACCTATAGTGCATTGTGTGGCGTATTAAAACCAAATAGAGCCTTTAGAGAATCAGAATTTCAACCAGACTGATAGCGATGACAATTACCCGGCTATGACTATGGTGCCGAATGTGCCCCATCAAATGGCGAAGCTACCCCGGGTTGGGGCACATTCGTCGAATTTGACTTTTTTTACAAAACTATAAAATTTTTAACTAATACTATTTTTTATATCTTTTTGGTATATAGAGCTCTAAAAAAAGTGCCGAAGGTGGCCAGTCTCCCCTATATTTTTTGGTTATTGACCGTAGGGTTCATGTAAGGTGGATTCCATGTTGATTCAAAGAGATCCACGAAATAAATAGAAACAATCTTAATTTAATGTTGTTCAACTTAAAATAATATTTTTCAACTTTAAATCAATGTTGTTGCATTATAATTTTGAAAATAAGTGGAAACAATGTTATTTTTAAATGAACATTATTAATTTAATTTATTTCAATATAATTTTTTCTGTTACATTGAACATTATTGATTTAGGATTGCTCAATCTTATTTTTAAGTTGCAAGTTTTCCCAGAGTGTACTTTTGAGAAAACCTGTATACACCATGTAAGTATGTAATGTTAATGGAAATTCCTGCTAATGTTTGTTCACTGTAACAGGTTGTTTTGATGTTTATACGAGGTGGTGTAATACAAATGTGGTTAATGTTGACATTAGTTTTCATCAGAAGGTTTTTGTGATTGCTATTTGTAATTTAGCAAATAGGTATCACACGCTGCATTTTCGAAGGTAGAGCAATGCTTAATTACTTGGTATTTAGTTTCTATGAAATATACATGCTTTTTCATTGTTTCCACGTATATCACACGTATATGTATGAAAATTTAATTTATTTTATGATTTATATCAAAACAACAAAATATACAGTAGCGTACCATAAAAATGCACCACTTTGGTCATGTGACATGTAATTACATTTGTTTCAAAATAACGGTAACTAATATTTTTTCTTTTCTTTTTTATTATTTCAATTATCAACTTTCACACTAGCCATAGTTTGGTTTATACGATTTACAAAAGTTAATTGTGTTTTGTAACAAAAGTAAGAATAATTTTAATATAACCAAATTTA